GTAAATGTTTAGCTGCGATTTTTGCCATTTAATTTCTACCTAATATTACTTGAGTCAGCCCTGGTGTGCACTGAAAAGGCTGCGGTTGTCAGACTTATGCAGTTTGCTTGTTCACTTATGAAGCAGTTAAAAGGTAATCCCTGCCTTTCTTACTCTCCACTTGGGTTCATTTCTTCCACATCCCTTCTCTGAAATCTATTAATATCAGCCTTATGAATGGATCCAGGCTTGCAGTCGGATCTCCCAGCTGCAAGTCATTTTAGGCCCTGACGAGTGAATCCTCTTGTTAATGGCTCCTTTAAGAAGTACTTGAAAAAAAGAAAGAAAGAAGGAAAGAAACTAGCCATTTTGAGCAAGCCGATAAATGTTGGAGCCTGTAGCACATTTAGACAGATGAGTGAGTCATGGAGTATTTAAGCAACCTGATATTCAGCTATTGATGAATACTTTCAGAACCATAAAACTCATTAAGTTAATAGTACAACTATCTACACAGAATTCCGTGAGTGGCTGTAGTAGTGGTCTCATTGTATTTTTCTACTTTGAATGCTTTTCATTTCAGCTTGTCACGGGCCTTCAAAGACATGATTTATGCTTCCTAATACCCCGGGGAGGTAGAGTATTTTCATATTTATTGCATGGAAGAGCTTTCTGTGATTGCTCGCCTGTCCTAAAATCAGTTTGGCTGGAAAAGGACACAAGAATTCTGACCTCAGCTCTGTATCCAAACCAGGAGTCAGCACTTGAAAAATGTGAATCAATATCTTGCCCAGCGAGTTTGTTTCCTTCTGCTAACCTGGGGGAAGAACAGATGGTGGGAGGCAGCATACACACAATGCTGCTTTTTCTTTTGTAAATCCGCCTATATCCCCACATCCCGGAGCTCGGCCGTGTTGATACAGGCCAAACATCTTTCAGCTCTTTCCGACTTTTTAGACAGTTCTTCATCATCTGCTATATGATGTTCATGACCATCATAATTGTTATCCTGATTATTAAGACCCGAGTAGCAGAGAGTCTAGATTCTGTCCTAAGCATGTTGGTGATCTTATCCTCAACAGATTTTTTGTGTGTGTATTGATATTTTTCGAAATCATAATCATTTTAGATGCCCATCTCCTCTTCCTTTTATCTCAGATATACGAGGTCTCTTACCACTTTTACAACTAAACCGATGTCCTCGCCTACTTTTCCCGTCTGCCTTCTCACTTCTCGTTCACCTTTCATGCAAGTCCTTGGTGATCTCTATGGTTATCTCTCTTTTGGCAATCAGAGGTGGGGTCTATTTTAAGAAGATCGTGTTAGGAATGTCATTCCATTCAGTTAACTGGAGGAATTATATCCGTTTTGGCTCTAGCGTTCCCCCAGGACCAGTGGCTCAATTCCCACAGTTAATTCCTAATGGGTTCCTTCACTGAGGAATCTATTTTTCTTCCACCCTACATACCACCCTCTTATAAATCTTTAAAAAAATTCTGTTTTTGTCACATGACTTGAGTGCTCAGAAAACTGGTTGTTTTCTTATTATCTAACAGATAATGTTAAAATTCCTTAGGTCAATATTTCAGGCCCTTTTTTAATTCAACCCTAATTTTTTTTTCTCTATGCAAGTTTCTTCTCTTTCAATTCCATATGTGTCTTTTACATACCTGTTACTGTTTCGGGTGCTCTTTAAGCAGTGGATATAAAGCATTATGTTTTTAATCTATTTGGGGAGATGGTTCTCACAATGCCGATACATAATGATAAAAGGTGGCATATGATTAAGTACAAACTGAGTCATACAGGTAAGCATCACTTAAATCCTGGGCTCTTCAGGGCCCTGTTCTTGGTTTTCTCTTTCTCTGCATGCTCTTATTGGGGTCCTCTCCTATTCCTAATGGCAAATCCATATTCTAATCCATTCCTGTGGCTTCCACCTGGTATAGATGCTCATCATGTTTCAGTCTGTATTTCTCCACAATCCCAGATCCGTATTTCCAGCTTTACTCAGGATCTTTGCCTGGAGAGGTACTTCCAGTGCAATATGTCTAAAGCCCAGTTCATTCTGTTCCCCCACAAATCTGTTCCACTCCTTACATTCCTTCTTGGTTATTGGTGTCACCTTGTTATCTTCAAGGTTAGACATCTGCAGCCAGTCACTAAATTCAGTGATTTCACCTCTGAAACTGTTTCTCCTACATTTTCTCTCCCCTCTGGTTTCATCTAAGGCCTGTCTTCTCCCTTTGAGAACTGTGTGTTGCTGCAGCCCAGCAGGTTTTCCTGCTACCAGTCTTTCAGTGCTCCAGTCTCTCTTCTCCTCTGCTGACAGAATTAGCTTCTTAAAAACAAGTCTGATTGTGTTATGTTCATGCTAAAAACCTCTGGTGGCTCCTTATCACTTTTAGGATAAAGTAGCAACTTTCAGAGGTTGGAGTACTAAAGCCATCTTGAGCCCTAGGCAGCGTCATCTCTTCTGTAGCCACACTGAATAGACAATCCATTTCACACCTCTACCTTCTCACCTACTGTTCCCTCTACTCATAATGCTCTTCTTGCCTTTCTTATCTCAAAGGCACAGTCATAGTTCAAATGTCATCTTCTCCATAAAACTCTTCCCCACTTTCCTAGGAAGAGTTGGCCCCTTTCTTTGGGCCCCCACAATACACTGTGCAGCTCTTAATTATTTTGGATTTTTCCCCCATTTTAATATCTCTGACCCCCAGAAGTACTTTACTTTGCTTGTTCCTCAAGAAAAGGGACTACATTTGATTTGTATTTTCATCTCCAGAAGAGCCTGTAGATAGTTTTTGATTGAGTAAATGAATGCATGTAGAATGAGCAATGTTGTGGGCTGAAGATATTGGGAAAAGCTTTGTGATGGAGGATCTTTGACTCCATCTAAAACCACTCATTGAGCTTCTGTTCAATGCAAGTGCTCACAATCAAGTTAGGAGGCAGGAATAACTATTTCCATTGTGCAGAGCGAGAAACTAAAACTCAAGTTATTTTTAGTTAAGAGTATATAACTAATAAGCACAAATGTCGTGATTTGACCCCAGATTGGTCTGGGGTCCAAGCTCATGCCTTGCCTACCATGTCAAAATGCTGGTGTCAGAGAATAAATCTTAAGAGTGCATTACAAGGCTCTCCATGAGGACAGTGATTTCATGATTATAAAGCACTTGGGTACTTGAAAAGGAAGCCTGTGGTTTTGTAGAGGACTAGAACTATTTTCACACCTGGTTTCCCTGACTGCATCTATATCTGTGTGGCCTTAATATTGTTTGACTCACAAAGGAAAATTGTTGATCCAGAGTGAACCAGTTCAACTTTTCTTCTCCTCAATCTCAGGAGTATTCCATGGAAGAAAATGTTTTAAACCGCACCTGAGCTATAAACAATTTATTCTGAAGGTAACAGTGTTAGTATTACAGTATGTAAACCTTTAGCTAATAAAAATCAAAGTAGCCTAATTTGGAAAGTACACAGAAGGTTAGAGGGAAGGCTTGTAAATGTTTTCAAAGACTCTATATTTAATTCTATCACCAGCTAGCAAAATAAATAGTCCAGCTGCTAGTTCTGAAACAGACACGTGTTGGAAATGAAATGTTAATAGTTTAAATGCATTGGTCATTAGAAATCAAAAGGAACATGAAGTACACTTTCTAGTTTATGAGAAGCAAGGTGAAAGTTCCCCAAACACATTTGTGGTAACTACGTTTAAAATTGCTTCCTCATCTTTTATTTTAGTGGCTAATGCTTAATATGGTATGTGTGACTATGAGGGCAGTTTTTTTCCTATTTAGATGCAAAAGTTTGGAAATAAATGGAGAGTGGAAATCAAGAGATGTTGAAATTCCACTTTTCCATGTGTCCAAGCTGTTTGCTGTAGATTGCAAGCTGCATGCCAGATTCTTCTGAGGAATGGGAGGTTACTTTCAATAATGTGCTAAGGTTGACCTGAAATATTTAGCCAGCACATCTGCTTGCAAGCTCTGGCCCAGTGTGAGGAGGTGATACTGGAGTTAATTAACTCTGTTTGGTACTCTGAAATGTTTTCTCCACGTATTGTTTCACCATAATAAAACTTATAAAATCAATTGGAACTTCTTTATTTTTCCTTGAGAACTTGAACAAAGAGGAAAACTAAGTGAAAAAAAGAATCTATAAAGCAGTGTTTTCTCGCTTGAAGCAAATGTTAAAGAAAAGCATTAGAATTAGAATTTTATTTCTTCGAATGTTTGTTTAACTTAAAATTATGGTGGAGCTGTATCTCTTTCACCCATTACGGTAATGCCATTTTAAAAATGTTAGATTTTATTGTTAGAAAACCAGGAGACTGAGTAGAGGGGAGTGAACTATGTGCTGAGGTACTCGTAGCATTACAAAACATTTTGTGAAACTAAATGTTATTCTAGGAACTTGCCAACTTCAGAAAGGGGAGGGAAGGGAGTTTTCTGGAAATTTTTCCAAGCACAGTACAGCACTCCTGGTCCTTGACACCATGATGTTAATGCCAAAGTGTTGGGCATTATTATTGCTGTTAGCCTGTTGATCTTAAACAAGTCAACTTGGCCTTATCGCTTTTCCCAGTAAAAGGGAGAGGAGGCCTACCTTCTAGATGGAGATGGTTAGAGTTTCTGTTTGAGGTGATGAAAAAGTTTTGGAAATGATCGTGGTGAGGGTTGTACAACCTTGTGAATGTGATTAATGCTATTGAATTGTACTCTTAAAAGTGGTGAAAATGGCAAATTTTATGTGATACATATTTTACCACGGTTTTTAAAAATTAATAATGTAATGTACCAAAAACCGTTGAATTGTATACTTTAATTGTGTAATACGTGAATTTATGGTATGTGAACTATATCTCAATACAGCTGTTAAAAACATCAAACACTGAGTGTAGTTAGGGAGTGGGATGTTCTGGTTGACTGAATGTTCTAGGTAGTTAAGGACTAATACATTTGCACGGAAACTAGCAAGTGAAAGTTACCCTTTCATGGGATATAAGAATATGAACTTGAAAAACAGTTTTTGTGCTTCGTTGGGTTATATATTCTTTTAATTATTATCTTTAGAAATATGACACTTTGCCATCTACAGAGCATCTGAGTAGAGAACTGTGTTGTCCAGTACACTGGCCACTGGCCACACATGGCTGTTGAGCACTTGAATGTCGCTAGTCTGAATCAAGATATGCTGTATGTGCAAAACAACACTGAATTTTAAAGATCTGGTATGAAGAAAAGAATGCAAAATATCTTGTTAGTAATTCTTATGTTGATTACACATTGAAATAATATTTTGGATATATTAGGTTATATAAAATATACTACTTAATATATTTATGTTTCTTTTTACTTTTTTAATGTGGATACTAAAAATTTTTTAATTGCTTATATGGCTCATATTACATTTCAGCGGGACAGGCTGGTCTAGAAATCGGACTGATCCACTCAGGAGTCACATACTTTGAGAGAGATTAAGAATCACTTCTGAGGACTAAGTAGAATACAGAGGAATTCCCTGAACTGGCACGGATGTCGAGAAAATTTACCTCCCGAAGGATGGCTGCCCCTTCTCTAATTCAGAGTTTTTGGAAATGGCAGACCTGGGAAAGGTCCTTCTCTAACCGGATGGGGAGCTCTGAGGAGTCAACAGGTCACTGGTCCTAGGAGTCTGGTTTGATCTGCTACCGCGCATGGTTCCATAACACAAGGTAGCTCAGTCGACAAGGAGAGGAATGATGTCAGTAGATCTTGGAGGTTGGATTGGTTCAGAGGCAGTTTTTCTTTGGCAAGAGGAGCAGGAACAGCAGGGGTAGAATTACAGCCTTTGACAAGAAAGGAAAGAACCCTCACAGGCAGCAGATGCCCTTTCAACTCCATTTTAAGAAAATTAAAAATGAGCGCCTTGTACCCAGGGCTCCCTCCCTAGAGGAGGCGCCCCAAGCCTTGTGGGATTCTAGGCGCCTGGCAGGGATGCTCCCTCTGTGTCCACCTTAACAGCAGCCCTCTGGCTCAGAACCTCACTGTGTCCACAAGCCAACCTTGCCACTCTGTTGTCGTATGCGTTTAATATCCCCTGAGGCAGCCACAGCCACAGCCGAGCTGCTTGCCTGGGTTGTCCAAGTCATCTCTCTAGGTATTAATTACTCTTTTGGTTAGTGCTCTGGTTACAAAGTTACATAGGTTTCAAGTGGTCTACCCCAAACGGTGTTTTCCACTGTAAACCCTGTTATTTTTAGAGTGTGATTTTGCAGGATGTGAGGTTTTTCAGGAACACATATATCACATTATGGCAGAAACACCCATGTGAATTTTGTCCTGCTCCTTCTGTAGACAAGTCTCAGGATACCAAGGTGACTGCCACTGCCACATTGGGAAGATGAGTTCCTGGCATTTCACAGTAGAGTCAGGTTGAGACTGTTGCATATGGTGATCAGGTATAGCTGGATTAATGCTGTTACTCTTAAGATATGGTATAAGTAGGTCTTATGGGCTGCCCGGGACCTGGTCTGCCATATATGCAACATTATTTCTATGGGAAAGTGTATTCTGGCATCCTGGAGTTCTAAACAACCAACTCACTAATACACTTTTGGAATTCACTCTCCTTGCAAATTGGCAAATGCCTGTAAGCCTCTTAGAAAACAACTCTCTCACCTGTACCACCACTGAGGAAGGAGAAAACAGGAACTGCGAACTTTGGGAACCTGAAGGTAGTTGTGAAAATCAGAAATTAGAAGGTAATTAGTGGTAAAATATGAATTTCAGACTACCTTTCCACCTCTCAAGTAATAAATACATCTGGACATAACTTACATTGAGTTATTTTGTTTTCTCAGGTCAGAACCTCTGAAAATCTTCGGAGAATAGATTTTCCCACCCCAGTTCTTTATTAACATAGGAGAAATCCTTCAGACTGTCAAAATTTAGGATTTGGGGGCTATTTTGGCACTTTATCAAATTAAAAGACAGATTGTCTGGGTTCTAATAAGCAGGGTGCTTTTTAGTGCTTGGCTCATCCTACTTGAGAAGAGAGGGAACAAGTCTTACAGGGTAAAGGATGTGACCCTGAAGCCATATTTCAGCTGTGCATGTGTGTGTGTTGTGTGTGTGTGTGTGTGTGTATGTGTGTGTAAGGGGAGGAGACTGAGATTGACTCATCTATAGAAGTGCAGGCCTTTAGATGTGTGTACTGAGGCTTCTTTGCAGGGGCTGACCTCCATAACTCCAGTAAATGCTGGGGATCTGAGCTGAGTAGGACAGCAGTAGTAGACTCTCAGGGAGTCTTCTTAGTAGAGCCTGGGAAGCTATACAGTTTACCTGTCACTTAACTAGAAGGAAGAACTAAATCCTATGCTGCAATTATTTTACAAGTATTACTGAAGGTAACATCTTAATAAATTAAAATTTTGATCATAATAGATCATAACCAAATTTATTAAAATGGTTTACTTTTCACTGTGAAAACTTTAGTTTAAAGTCCATGCGGTGCTCAATAGCTGGTAGCCATTATCAGTATTAAGTGCAGTTATTAAATGGAGTTTCCCCCTCATTTCGGGCACACATCTTTGTTTTAATGATGGTCAGAGGAATCATCATTTATCATACAGATATTAATAGTACACACAATTTAAAAATACAATGAATATATGAAATATGGTTAGTTAGGCCATTGAAAAGAAAGAACCTGGACTGGGGAGTGTGTGCTAAATGAAAAGTTTTTGGGATTTCGTAAAGGATTGAATGATAACTCCCTAAAAGATATTTTTTCTCTGCACAACTTTGAATGATATAGTATAATGTTTCAGACAAAGAGCCAGCTGATTAGAAAGAACATATTGACAAGAGGCCAGATTTGCTCATTATTTATACAGAGGATTTGAAAAATAGACTTTCTCCTAGTCAGAAACTATGGCCTGCATCCCACCCTGTAGAAATCCTGATCATTCGTCAGCATCAACCGCAGATGCTGCCTCCTTCCTGAGTCGTTTCCTGTGCTCTCCCAGTCGGAGATGATCTCTTCATCCTTTACGCTCCATAGCACTTTGTGCCTCTCTTGTCTCCTGGAGCATCCTTTGCATCGGATTATTTATAGTTATTTCTGAATTTGTTTTTTCTCTACTGAATTTCACACTCCTTAAGGGAAGAGGACTGTCATATCTCTGCATCTTTGGAAGTTATACCAAGTGCCTTGTACATAGACAACACCAAGAAAGATATTATTTTCAATTTTGGGTTGGTTCCTCAGTTAATTTTGTTAACTTTGAAGAAAATACACTGCAAATAACTACTGTGCTCCAGTGACCTGTCCAGAATGCTTCTATGAGGAAGCTGATATTATAATTAGGACTTGATCAATAATGGGCCAGGTTTGATCTAGAGGGAGGAGGAGTAAGGCTCTGGAAACCAGAGTTTCAGGGTGGGAGAAGAAAGGATCAAGGGAGAAAGGGGTTCCTAGCTGTAGGCAAAGGGAGGCAGGCCAGGCACTCTACTTGAGGCAAGGCCACCAGGACGCTCCAGGCACAGAGATCCTGGGAGGCAGGGAGAGTGCAGTGTTGGTCCATCCAGGCATCTGTAGTGGGTAGTTGGTTGACAGGGAGGTTTTGCAGCAAGTTATGGGGACCTGACCAAAGGGAGCAGCATTCGAGGACAGACTGGTTGGGAAGGTAAGGCAGGGCCCCAGTCCTACAGTGACGCAGAAGCAAGCAGCAGCTAAGCCCCTGGGAACAAGGACTGGGCAGGCTTCTAGCACTGGGGCACAAATGGTGAGGGCTTGGCAGATGCAAAAATGCCCTGCTGCTGAGCTGCTCTGCTATCGTGTTCTAGTCAAGGCTCGGACTGGCACCCAGCCTAGCTTCTAAACTTAGAGGGTCGCCCAGTCAGGGAGCCCAGTGGGTTGCTATAGTTCAGGGATGGGGAAAATACAATCTTGGAGCAATTCTTTCACAGCTTGTGGTAGGTGGCAGTTTTATGAGGTCAACACATCTGGAAAATGTTTAGGGACCATCAGCATAGATAGATAAACCCTGGAAACGAACCTGTCATGGCTGACTTGTGTGTTGAAGCCCCTGTCACCGCCGTGCTGAGCTCTGTGGCAATAGAAGATTTGCAGTGTCCTGTGTCTGACAGATGCGGTATGCTTTTCAATAATAATCAGCGGAAAACTAGGATCAAAACTTAGCCCGTGACTGACATGGACTGCATCTGAAAAGATCATCTGGTGCAGTGTCTAGCTTTTTGGCAGATAAAAATCTAACCTGTGGTAGAGGATTTTTCTTTTTTCTTTGAAAGATCACTGACCTGCTTAGGTAAAAAAAAAAAGAAACCGTGAAAGCTCATAAAAATATGTAATTCATATGAGGTTTTCACGTAGCATTTTGTTTTGAATTTTTTCTTTTCCTCTTTAAAAACATAATATTTATTGGATTGTTTTTTCACTATTAAACATAAATACAGAGATTTATAAAGAAAAAATAAATGGATCATAATTTCCTGATTCAGTTAACATCTTTTGACAGTGCTAATAAAGAAATGCATGTATAAGGTTAGAAATTTCAGACAGTACAGAAGGTACAAAATGGAAAGTGAAAATTTCTTGTGATTTGGAGGGAATTTTTATGCGGATATATATATGTATATATGGATTAATATTTTTTTAAAAAAAGGGACTGTCTACTACACATACTGTTTGTCTTTGCTTTTTTAACCTAATCAATTCTAGAGATCATTCCATATCAGCATGTACACATGTACCTAATTCTTCTGAGGAGTTGCGTAGTATTATGTGGTATGGACTTACTATAATTTAACCAGTTCTCTAATGATAGACATTTTGTTTCCGGTATTGTGCTGTTCCAAACTGTACTGCAGTGACCATTAACAAGCTGATTCTCAAAACCAGTACTTCTGAAGGTCGGGGCATGTATAATCCAGGGCTTGGCAAACTTTTTCAGTGAAGAGCCAGATAGTAAATATTTTCAGCTTTGCAGCAGGCCATACAGTCTCTGTTGCAACTACTTACCTTTGTGGTTGTAGTGCAAAAGCAGCCATAGTTCAATGAACAGATTGTGGTATGTCCATACAATGGAATATTATTCAGCCATAAAAAGGAATGAAGTACTGATACATGCTATAATGTGGATGAACCTCAGAAACATTATATTAAATGAAAGAAGCTAGACACAAAAGGTCACATGTTATATGGTTCCATTTATATGATATTCCTAGAATAGGCAAATACATAGAGACAGAATTCAAGTTGGTGCTTGCCAGGGTCTGGGGAGAGGGGGCAATGGGAAGCAACTGTTTAATGGGTACGAGGTTTCCTTTTGGGGTGATGAAAATGCTTTGGAACTAGATAGAGGTGGTGGTTGCTCAACATTGTGAATGTACTAAATGCCACTGAATTGTTTACTTTAAAATCATTAAATTTGCATTAAGTGAATTTCACCTCCAAGTAGCCATAGTCAGTATGTAAGTGAATGAGCATGGCTGTATTCCAATACATTGTATTGTAAACTTTACAGTAAGAGAAAGCAGGCTAGATTTGGCCCCAGGGCCATAGTTTGCCACCCTCTGGAATAATCTGAAAAATAATTTTGGAAGCAATGTGAAGGTTGCCCTAGGTTGGTATAAGGATCGGGTAGGAGTAGGGACTCAATGCAGGGAAGCTAGTTAGAAGGCTAGTGCAATAGTCTAGTAGCATTTCTTCACTTTGGGGGAGGTCATGGACCTCTCTGAGAAGCTGATGAAACTGTGGACCCTTCACCCCCTAAATTTATGTACATGCACATACATTTTGCCTATAAAAATTCCTGTTCATTCTCCCATGTTGGGAGGCCCTGTTCTAGCTGAATAAAGTGAGAGCCCGAACTCTTGGAGAATGGCAGTGAGGAAGTAGGGAGTCCGGGGTTTTGCGTAGTTTCAAGTTCTGAAACTACTTTCAAGTTCTGAAAAGTCAGCAGGATGAAGACTGAAAAGAAGCCGTTGGAATTCTCAGTTAGCTCATTGGTTTCCCTCAGCAGGAACAGCGTCCCTAGAATAGTGGTGCCACAAGCCCCGTTGTAATGGGTTGAGAGTGAGTGAGAGTCCAAGTCGTGGAGGCAGAGTTGTAGACTAACTCCTCAAAAAGGTTGATGGTAAAGGAAAGAAGGATGCTTTCAAAGCATGAGCTTGAGGCATAGTTTTTAATAGGAAGGGAAAGATTTAAGCATGTTTTCAGGCTGAGGAAGGAGCCATCTTCATCTCCTTGAAGATGCAGGAGAGAGCTGTGGGTGGAGCAGGGTCCAAAGAAGGGGAGCATCCTGGGATCCAGCAGACAGGTGCAGATCCTCCTTTGAGGAAGAGAGGGGACATATGGACTGAACTGATGGGCTCCTATAGGTAAGTTTAGAGGTGGAAGGGAGAGAATTTGGCAGCGTTTTTTCCTAAAGGGCCTCTTTTCTCTGTGAAATAATTGATGAGAGCACCTGCTGAGAATGGGAAGGGAGGTGGGTGTGGGGTCAAGGGCTTAAGAAAATTGCAGAGGTTCGGGCAGCTGCTGCGGGCAGGGATTTCTGAGAGCCCCTGGTGGCTGATCTTCAGTATAATTGATGAGTTCCTAGGACTCATTCAGTCAACAAATGTTGACTGAGTGTGTTCCATGTGCCATAGGTTACCCATCTAAGAATACTTGTTGACATCATGCTTTTCTAATATTTCAACAAAAATGTTGTGAAAGAAAGTATGAGAACTGTTGCTAATTCTTCATCGATGGAGCTCAACACTCTCATTACAGAAGGGAATTACAGAAGTGGGTTCAGCAGGTTGATTCATAATAGTTTAATTCCACTGCACAGTACTATAATGGGTTAGTCAAATGGATCACAAGGGTGACCTTTCCACAATTGTTGAAAAGTTAACCTATACCAAAATAAAAGATAATTTCTAATTCACACAGATAGTTCCTAATTCCTCTGGAGTTTTTGTGAATTCTATGAGATGCAGCAGTTAAACTGGACATGTGTTCCTCCTCTCTCTCCTCCTCTCCCCTCTTTTGTTTGTTTGTTTTAGCAAAAATCAGGCTCTGTAAGAGCAAGAGAGAGGTCTGTGAGCTCAGAAAACACGGTCCCCTTAGTGGAGGGATAAGTGGACTTTAAGTTTGGCATGAGTTCTGAGGCCATTGACTGGTCACCACTCAGTGACCAACTCTGACACCAGACAGGTTTTCAGTGCCCAGTGTGAGCAGGCCTCGGCATTCTTGGTGCTGAATATCCACCTCCTGTTTGTTGTCCGTGTTGCTGCTGAAATACAACTTCCTCCTGCCCCCTTTCTCCTATGAATGATCCCAGCTGATGCCGCATATTTTCTGGAAGCCATACTGCACCCCCTTGTTTAAAAAGGTGATTGATTATTAACAGTGTTCAAAAGAAACACTTTCAAAATGTAAAATTTTTCTCCAGAGGGAAAGAAAGATTATCTACATTAAGATTGCTGTTCTAGATTCTGCAACCATAAGTTAATAAATCTTTATTTGGTATAAAAAATACAAAGAACCATGATAGTTGTCACAGGAGATAAGAAGTGTATGATTCAATTATTTCCTTCCAGAAAACTTAATATAGCAAGGGATTTGGTGTTAGATTCAATGCTACTACCTGAAAAGTAGTTCTTAGTCAGCAGTATATGCTGAATTCCTGCTGTATACCTAGCAGTGTGGTTGACAATGTGGTGTTGGGAAAGAGTTATAAGATACGGTCTGAATCATCAAAGAGCCTGCATTATAGTTAGGGAGGGAAGACTAATACACATAAAACAATCACAGATAATACAGAACTGTATGAGTAAGCACTAAGTTGCATTGGCACATTAATTTAAAAAATCAAGTTCACTGTGGCTGAGAAGCACGGGTAAGGAGGAAGATCTTACTTGGAGTTAAAGGCAGGTTCACATGTACGCACATTACCTCAGGCAGTGGTTCTCAACTTTTGCTGCATATTAGAATCACCTGGGAGTTTTTAAAATCCTGATGCTCAGGCTTCACCCAGTGCCAAGGTGAGGGGTTTTCATGCAGACCCTAAATATATGGTCTTTTATGACACCAGTTCTTGGATTTTCTGACACCAACTGGGTGTCCTATAATTAATTCGGATCTGACACTAATTAGCATCAGACCCCACAGGTTTAAGGGCTCAGTCCCACAAGACTCTCCTCACTGCAGACACCAGTCACGAGTATCAGGTCCCCAGGTTACCTGCCCTTCTGTCTGACTTGACTGCAAATTCGGGGAGTCCTACAACCCCCCTCTCCCAAGTTCGATAATTTGCTAGAATGACTCACAGAACTCAGGAAAATACTTTACTTACTATTACAGTTTATTATCAAGGATACAGATGAATAGACAGATGAAGAGGTACATAGGACGAGGTCCGGAAGGATCCCAAGAACAGGAGCCTCTGTCCCTGTGGAGTTGGGGTGTGCCACCCTCCCAGCATGTGGATGCTTTCACCAATCCAGAAGCTCCGTGAATCCCATTGTTTAGGAGTTTTTATGGAGGTTCCATGACACAAGCATGATTGATTAAATTGTTGGCCATTGGTGATTGAACTCAGTCTCCAGCCTCTTTTCTCTCCTCCAAGTCCGTGGGTGGGACTGAAAGTTTCAATCCTCTAATCACATGGTTCCTTCTGGTGACCAGCCCCCGTCCTGAAGCTATCCAGAGGCCCACCAAGAGTCACCTTTTTAGCATAAACTCAGGTATGGTTGAAAGGGGCTTGTTATGAATAACCGAAGACAGTCCTTTCACTAAGGAAATCCCAAGGGTTTCAAGAACTCTCTGCCAGGAACTGGCAATGGAGACCAAATATATTTTTTATTATACCACAACTAATTCAATCAGAATTTCTGGGAGTAGGAACCAGGCATCTGTATTTTTAAAGCTCCCTGAGATGATTCCAGTGTGTGGTCAAGTTTGAGAAGCGTTGTTCTCAGGCAGTGGTTTTAAATGCTTAATATTAAAGAAACAAACAAACACACTAAAGCCTTAGCCCTGCCTCCACTCCAGTTAAATCAGAAACTCTGAGTGTGAGGCCCAGGGATGGTATTACTTAAAAGAGCCTCAGGTGCTTCTAACGTGCAAACAGAGTTGGGAAGCATGTGTAAGGTAATGGTGGAACCTTCACAGTGACAGGGCTCCAGAGATGCTTGGAGATAGAGAACCAGAGCTCAAGAGAAATGACTGCCTGGTGTTGTCCACTCAGGGGTCATTGTCAAGTTGTAAATAAATCCAGGAGAGTCATTACCATTATAGACAAGAGGGGCCCAGAACAAAGATTTGAGGAAATCCCGAAGGAAGAAAAAGTGCCAGCATAGAAGCTAGAGGTGTAAGACAGCAGAAACAGGTTAGTATGTTTTCATGGGATTCGTGGAGGAGAGTTTCAAAGGTGAGGTGGACAACCTCTCTGAAAAGCCATGGAGGTTGTGTAAGGTGATCAAGAAGAAAAGCCATTGTTTTTGTAATAATTGTATCCCAAGGTGCTTGATGAGGGAGCAGTTTCACTAGAGTGCGTTGGGCTAGAAGCGGGGTTCTAGGACCTTATCTGAAGAGGCCACAGACGCCACAGGAGTAGACCCCAGGTACCAGGAACTTGTTAGTGAAAGAAGGTGCAAACCAGGACAGGAGAGAACTCGTGAGGGCCTCAAGGTCAAGTGAAGAATCTTGAGGTTTTGTTTTATGATGAGGTTAAGACACAAGGAGAGGAACCCAGGCCGAAGTGAGTGTTTAAAGGCAAAAGGAGAGGTGCCTGGAGAAAGGAAAAGAAGATTGAAAGGTGCTAGAAAAAGAGGCTATTGTCCACCAGCCTTGTCAAAAGTCTGTACGGAGGCTTGTTGTCCTTCCTCAGGCTGTGTGAAGGGGTGGAATGTGAAATTCAGGCATCGGGTATCAAATCAAAACAATCATCAAAAGCTATGTTTTGTGACTGGGAAAGATCTGAAAAAGACATGAACAGATTTGTGCATAGCTGGTTCTCATGGTTCACCCTGGTTAGAGCTGTCTAGCCCCGTGACACCCTGGGCATCAGCTGTAGTTCTAATTGAGCACTTCAGAAGTACAAACAATGTGCATGCTGTATAAACTCAGCTTCAAGCAAGTCGCCTAGCCCAAACGTGGTTACCAGACCAGAGCCTGTCCTTGAACTGTTTGTCACCAGTGCACGATGAGGTAAGTACAAAAATTGGGAAAGTAAGAACTCAGACTTTCATATCTTTTTGGCATTGCCATGGCATCCAAATACACTATTAGTGGGCTTGCATTTTGTGGATTTTTTGAAATTTCATTTTCCTATTAATTCATTTTTATAGTGTTTTGCCAGAAGCATTGATCTGTGACAGAGTGGAAATTAAAAAAAAAAAATCATACACCACAGAGTTTGAGAAGCAGTATCCGAGCCCCTCCCCTCCAATCCACGTGATTCTTTTATGTCCCTATTATGGAAATTTTGTAGCTGTTGCTTATCTCCAGGAGTCTGTGCTGGATTTTCACCACTTCTTGGATATTGGCATTTGCTTTCATAGATGGATGGTGGGTGGGTGGATGGATGGATGGATGGATGGATAAAAGGACGGATGGAAGGAAGGAAACATACATTCATGGCTGTCCTTGCAAGTTCTTTCTGTCTAGGTGAACACAAGCACAGCCCTCTGTCGAGGTTGGCAGCCCCACCTTCACTCAGATGCTCTTGCTCTTGGGCTTCTTTGGATTCATCTATTCATTCAGCACATGTTATGTGGAAAGATGTGGTGTTGGGGTAGTTTGAAACATTGGAAACTTGGTGGTGGTTCCTCTAGGATTGAGGCTTGTTTCTTTAGGCCTGGGGAATGCCCTGACCAAGGTAGATGAGAACTGAAAAAAAAAACAATGGAGAGATAAAGGCTCCTTCAGAGCCCTCACTTCATGCCTGTGGAGTTACAGTTTGATGTTCAGGAAGCCCCTTCCTGGGTGCTGGAATGTGAATCACTTCCAGTCTCCTCTACAACAGTCACAGCTGTACTCTTGAGAAGCACAGCTCCGCATCTCTCTCTCAGTCCACACCTTACTTTTGGACAGTGCCTTCCAGTTTATGTGCAGTGAGTGTAGGAGTTTGCCCTGCCATTCTATGTCTCAAGGGAAAAGATCCACTTAGCCGTAGTCAGTTTGCCTGTGAGCCAAGAATGTCTTCTCTTTGTGACAAGTGGGGTGAGTTCTGTTCCCTGCTGTCCCTCCTCCTGGCCTCTCTTTTCTAATCTCATGCCACTGGCCTGGTTCAGCGCCCCATTCCTTCTCAGTGCTGTTGCACAGCCTCTCACTGGTCTGTTTCTCTCTAGTTTGGACTGTCAGCTTCCTGGGGGTAGAGGTTGTGTCTGCCCCTGTCACTCTTATATCCCTGGTGCTGAGTCCAGTGTCTGACACAGTGGGTGTCCAGTACGTATTTATTAGTAGGCACTGTTTGTCCTGTTGTCATTTTGCTTCCTAAAGCAAACATCTAATCATGTCCTGAGACTCTTTCATTATCTCTTCCTTTGATTATGCCCTTTGTCTACTTCCTCCAGACTCCTTAATCTGTGGTTCAGCAGTTCTCAACCTATTTTTGTCATCTATCAGAACTCCACAGACAAATCATGTTTACATGTAAAGAGCACTCTATGAACAAACATATATTTTGACAAAAGCTCTCAAAATGCCGCAGAAAAGTAGGGCTCTGAGAGAACACCTAATTGCCCCTGTTGAGGGTGCCACAGAGTGTGATCTGTGGCAGAGAAGGGAGAGATGGGTGTTAGGTAATGAGATAAGTGTGCCGTCTGAGGGTTAACCTCCACTCTGCTTTATTTAAAATAATTTGCAAATTTTGCTGCTGTGATTAGTTACTAATCACTTTTATTTTAAGTGTTTTGTTTTGAACTGATTTTAGATTTATAGAAAAAGTTGCAAAAATAATACAGAGAGTTCCCTTATATCCTTCACTCGTCTTTCCCTAATATGACCATCTTACCACTATATTTCTTGAACTATGTATTTGTGTGGTTTTTAACCCTCTTCCAACTCAAGTTGACTGAATGCTCAATTATTACTATTAGGACTTATTTAACGTTTTCTTGAATAATGACCAAGATATTTAACTTTTAGACTCTTGGGTTACATATGCTTGTGTTCTTTTATAGATAATCTATACCACTCTTAACGCATTGACCTCCCACATTTTTAGATCATGCCTCACATTAGTAAAAATTATGAGCAACCCTCTGGAATATTTTTTTATAATTGCATTTATAAAATTATGTATACTACTGTTCTCTATATTGTGTAGCTCCTGAATTTAGAAATTAGAAAAGGTTGAGATTAAAAGATAAATACAGCATATTAATAGAAGTTTTAGTTTTTTCCATCTACATTCCAATGAATCATCTTACACACCCCAGTTTGTAGATTATTGGCTTTAATTACCATCTTGATTTAAATCTCTCCCTCCTTTCCAGACAGAAATGGATCCTAGTGAGGAAACGATGCTGTTAGGTGTATTGTTTGAACATTGATTATCCTGGACTGTGTAACATAGGAATTTTCTGATGTGCTATTTGGAAACAGCTGAACTGCTTCTGAGAATCGCACAAACCAAGTAAAACTTGGTGATTAATAAGGTAAAACTATTTCTCTTAAAGCAGTGCTATGGATTAAGCTTTTCCTAGGGTTAAGAGAACATTTGTCTTATAACCAGGGATTTCAGTGTCTTTGTACTGGAACAAATGCTTTTTTCAGATCTAGACACAGTATGAAAAATAAGACTCTTTGCAAGGTGCTTGGGAAAGTTCTAAGTAGCTCCCAAGTGGGGAGGCCTTTGTTCTGGGGGAAGAGGCCTACCTTCAGGGGTTAATCAGAGGGACATTGGGCACATCAGTCACTGCTAGGGTAGGTCAGGGAGAAAAGTTCACATCTGCGTGTCGCTGACCACCAAGCCCTTTCTTGTGGTCCTTTCAGAAGTGATGTATTGTTACGCATCCCAAGAGCACAAACCTCTAGTGTAGATTTATTGGGGGAAAATTCTCCTTGTCCATATGATAAAGTTATATATTTATTTTCTTTGAAACTCAGGTTGGTAACATTAAGGACTTTGTGGTAGTTAAGTTATTTGAGCAAATATGCTAGCCAGTAATACTTGTTAAAGTGTTTAAATTTGCACATAACACAGTGCCTGGCATGTAGTTTGTTAATTGCCTGCTTGAGTGGATGAGTTTAGATTTTTACCAGGTTGACTGGCATCGTATTGTAATACCAAGTCGTGTGAGCATGTGATGATTATACAGTTTTTGCTTTTTAACTATTTGTTAAACTGTGCATGTAAGTCTTTCGCTTTTCTCTTTGTGTGCTACATTTCATGGTAAAAATGTTTTTACATGTTTTAGGAAAAAATGTAATGAAGTAAATACCATATATGGAGTTTGTTTCCTTTGTCAAGTTGAAGCATAAACATTAGAGTGTTTGCTTGTCAACACATGGAATTTGCTAATTAATTTATATTTAGAAAACCGTTTCCAATTTTGAACATTTTAGGGAACAAGATTTCCAAGTGTATCTTGCTAACAGCCAAGAACAGCTGCATTTATGCATAGTTTTTCAGATGGCTTCTCTGTGACATCTGTGAAAATAGACAACTTCAGTAACCAAGCATGCCATGATTGCATGGCATGTTACAGCATTTTATGATGTATGGGGGCCAGAGTCTCCACTGTAACTGAACAGTGTGCCAGTTTGTACGAAAATACTTACTTGACTTACACCTGAGTTCTGAATCGACGTTTATTAGATAAATGGTAAGGATAGAAACTTCAATATTAGCAAAAAGTGTAAAATACATTACTTAAATTTTGCTTATACATACTTAAATTAGAGAATAAAAAGATGATTCCTTATCAGTAGATTTAATTTGGAAGGTGAGTTAACAAATTGATAATAAACAATGACGTCTTACCTGGTGGTGTTATAACCATTATTAGTCGGAAATAAAAGAGAGCAGTTCCGACTCTGTGCCATTCCTGCAAGCATGAAGCAGAATTGAAGGTATTTGGGTGGGATGGGGGCGGTGGAGCAACACCTGCACACCAGCACTTTGGTCTGTTCTCTTGCCAAAGTGTTCTTTGGATTTCTTTCAGAGTTCCATTTCTCCCTCCCCCAACCCCAATCCTTTCGTATTTACGCTTACAGGAAAAGACGAGATCAATCTTTTAAAAATTAGCTAGTTAATTAGAGGTGACCGTGGGACAGTTTCTAAGTTTATAGATGTTCAGGTGATTAAACGTGGCGAAGGAGATTTCTTTCACTCTTGTACAGACTCTCTCAGTTTTTACTAATAAAAAGCATTCACTAGGGAGAAACCGCGGACCTGATCCCCACCCCCTGCACCCCAGTGCTTCCAGTTAGGGATCTATTATCTCATCCCAGATAATTGGAAAAGGATATTCAAAATACTACTTCGTGTAAATATGGTTTTTGCCTGCATTATATTACTAGGAGTTCTGAACACATCTGGAGTGAAGGCGGCCCCAGGGACATTGAAGCGAGCTGTTTGGGTTGGCACAGTGACATTATAGTATATGCCAATTTGTAATGGCTTTTGGAAACAGGCAGTTTTAAACTCTCCCTGAACTATTCCCCTGAGAAATTATTCAATTAAGTACAACTAAAATTAATGTTTAGCATTTTTTGTTTAAATAAAATAGGCAGCTTTAAAGGGAAATCTGTGGTTTATACTTATGTTCTTATTTTAGTCTAAAATCAAGCTCCTAAGAAATAATTCAGTGTCCTGGAATCAGTGCGTTTTCTAGAAGAGACATAGTTACCAGATCCTCCTTACCACTTTCACAGTGTACACACGTCTCTGTTGCTGCCTAGGCAGTTTTAGACACCAGGGTGGTTGTCCAGTTTCCACCCCTTCCAGCCCCATCTGGGGAACCATCTGGGAATGCAAAGCCAGAAGGACTCCTTTCTCTGTCTGCTAAGTCAGTGCTTCTCAGACTATGATGGGCATAAGTATCACCTGGGGATCTTGTTAAAATGCAGATTTTGATTCCTTAGTTCTGAAGTGGGGCCTGAAATTCTGCATGTCGAACAAACTACCAGGGGCTGCCCCTGCTGCTGGCCCGAGGACCACACTTGGGGTTGCCAGGTTCTAAGCAGTAGCGAGGGTGAGAGTAGGGAACAGGGTACCTGGACTTAACTTTGATTTCCAGTTTGTGGCTTGGCCCTGAGTGCGTTCGGGTAGGTATGACTCTTACTTTGCCTCCTGGTATATCCTTACTTGTTTCTCAGAATCCCCAATTCTCATGGACCTTTGTAGGGCCCCACGTGGACTGTTTTGCAAAATAGGACACATTTCTGATTAATTGCAGGAGATGATAGCTTCAGTTCTTCTGTCACATGTCTTCCTGAAATTGATACATTGTCTACCTCATTTTCTTTGATCCATCTTTTTGTTGCCATATTATAAAGAAAAAAAAAAGTTAACCTGATGTTCTTTAGTCTCTGTTCCTAAACATGTAGGCCAGAGCCCTAATGTGTGAAAGGATGTATGAGTAAGTGTGGCTTTGCGGTTTTTAACCAAGCATCATTACTTTCAAGGTTTGGCCTCTCAGCTCTGAGGTCCAGGACTTTGATGGTCAGCCTTTTCAAGGGTGGTCTGATTGGGGGGACATGGTTAAAATTCACACTAGGTGAAATCTCTTGAAAGACTGATTCATAACCCAGGGTGGTTCTTTATCCATATATGTGAGAGGATGTTCTATAAGAAAAACTACATTATTTACAACTGGCTGTCCCCTTTCTTGTACTGAATACTAATTTACAGTCAGAGAACTACTGGATAGATAAGGATTGAGACATCCTTGTAGTGGCCACCACTCATACCGTTTTGATATTCCTACCACAGTCGGAGTCCAGAGTGCCCTTTCCTCAGATCACAATGCTGTCCACTAGAAATTTCTGGCTATTTTTTTTAACCTTTAGACTTTCCCTCTTTCATTTCATCCTTTGTTTTTCTATGTCAATAATTTTCTTTGTAAAATACTGTTCTGATCATGTCATTTGCTTGTTAAAATCCTTCAGTGGTTCCTCATTGCCTAAGCAGTGTTTCTAAGACCTTCCTGATTTTTATCATATTCACCTGTAGTGTTATTCATTTAAAGTTCTTCTTTGGGCTTAATTTTTTTAATTAAATTTTTATTTTTATCAAAATAATACCTCTACATAGTTTGAAAAATCAGAGAGAATTGGAAAGCTTAGGAGAGGCAGGAATTCTCCTCATCAGCCCTCCCTACCTCAAAGTCCTATCCCCCAGAAGCAGTGCTTCTAATTCTTTTGGTGGTTTATGTCAATATTTATAGTACAGTATCTATATTTCAAAATAGTGTGCTGCTATTCCTTAATGTTTTCAATCTTAGACTGTTGACTTCCTCCTAAGGAAGATGTTAATTTAACCTACAACAATCCTGTATATACACACTTCCCTTCTCCCCCATTGCATACACTTTTTAGCTAAATCAGTGTTTATGGAATTATGACTATGTAAATGTTCATGACTGAGCTACAGTGTGTGCTAGAATTAGATTTTATTTCATACACCCTTTTCCTCTAAAGTCAGTAATTGCCTCTTTCTTATTTTTTAATTTGCTTAGTTGTCTTGTATACGTTTTCATCCCCTCTCCCTCATTACCTCTGACAGAACTGTGAAATTCCTTTCAAAACAGACAAACACTGTTGGTAGCTGTCTTAGTCTGTTCCAGCTGCTGTAACAAAATAGCACAGACTGGGAGGGTTATGAACGGCAGAAATTTATTTCTCACAGTTCTGGAGGCTGGAAGTCTGAGATCAGGATGCCAGCATGGTTGGATGTCTTCTTGTTGCAACTTCTTGTTGTGTCTTCATGTGGCAGAAGGGGCTAGGGAGCTCTGTGGGGTCTCTTTTATGAGGCACTAATCCCATTCATGGAGGTTCCACCGTTATGGCTTAAGTGCTTCCCAAAGGCCCCACCTCCTAATCCCATCATTTTGGGGGTTAGGATTTCAACATATGAATTTGGGGGGAGTTCAGCCATTCAGACCAGAGCAGTAGCCTGTCAGTTTCATCTTTTGATTGGAGTCCTTTATCTCCCTGGTCTAATCTGGGCTGACGGTACTAAGGCTGCTGCCTCACTGTTCTGGGATGTCCCTCCACCACCACACTGGGAATAGAATGCCCTTTGTCTCTCTCTGATGTGTATCCCGTTTTCTGGATCACAGGTCGTCCTCTTTCTTCCCTCTCTCCTTTTTGGTAGAACACATTCTCCGGGAACTTCCAAGAAAAGGTGCATAGGACACATAAAATTAAGACCTTACACATTTGAGAATCACTTTATCCTCCCTTCATGTTTGACTGAGAGAATGCATTCTAGGTTGGAGTTTATTCTCTCAGAATTTTGAAGGCATTCCTTCATTAGCTTCCAGCTTTCAGAGTTGCTTTTGAAAGGTCTGCCATTCTGATTTCCATTGTACGTGAGTTATTTTTTTCTCCCATCTCTCGCTGAAAGCTCTTAGAATCTTTTCATCTCCACTCTTCTGAAATTTCACAGTGATACTGTGTGACTTCTTTTTTCATTTGTTGCTCTGAGCACTTGGTAGTTACTTCTCTTCTGGGAACTCATGTCCTTAAATTCTGGGACACTTGCTTATATTATTTTATTGTTAATTTCCTCCACTTGAGTTTTTTTGTTTTCTCTCTCTTTGTAGTTCCTATTGTCAGTGTTGGGCCTCAAGAATTAATCCTCCATTTAATTAAAAATTTTTTTCTCTTATTTTTCATTGCTTTGTCTTATTACTTTATTGCTTAAATGATGTCCTCATTCTACTCCCTCCCCCCACTGTCTTATCTTTTTTAAAAAAAATTTTTCTTAACTTTTCATTTTGAAATAATTACAGATTCACAGAAAGTTGTAAAGATAGTACGGAGGTCTCGTATACTCTTTACCCAGTTTCTCTCAATGGTTGCATCTTATATAATTATAGTACAACATCAAAACCAGGAATTTGACATTGGTACAATGCGTGTATTGTTCTGTATCATTTTATCACGTGTAGATTCATGTCATCATTACTACAATCAAGAATCAGAACTATCATTGCTGTCCTAATTTCTAAGAACTCTTTCTTGTTCTCTGAAAGTTCCTTTTTTACCCTTTGCTATACTTCTATGGATACCTTGTCTTCTCTTCTCTTTGGGATATATGTGTGTGTGTGTGTTTCTTTTGCTCCAAAAAAGGTTTGTTTTGGAACCTTTTTTCAAATGTCTATTAATTCTAAATGCTCATATTAAAAGTGAGGCACCAACAGTTGGTTGGAAGGACTTTGTGTTGGCTGAAGTTTAAGTGGTGGGCCTCGCTTTAGGGCAGTGGAGGGAGCACCCAACCATTTCATTGTGGAAGTTCCAAATATCAGAATATATACATCTTTTCTCTTGGGCTAGTCTGTTTCTGGAAAATAACCTTCCAGTCTCCTCTTAGGGGGTATCTGCAGCTAGAGTTCTGGATGCTGACTGAGGAAAGAGACTCAGGGAGGAGGAGTAGAGAGCTGGGGCTCATATATCTTTGTAGGCACACTTTTATTTAGTACTCCTCTTGTTACTACACCATACCACTTCCTCAGTGGGGCCCGGTATCCCAGGCACAGAGCTCCCCAATTAGGATTCAGATCTCATTGGAGAAGGTGTGGACTTCTCCACAGCCCACTGGATGGCAGAGATCTTTGCTGGGTTGCGTGGGCCAGAACTGGTCCACAGAAAACACTGCTCTTGGGGTGAAGATACACTGAGGCTAGCAGCTGAGGAACCAC